CTATTTTTTTTTGTAACTTCCCGGTGGGAAATCGGCTAGCGAATAGCTAGCTATAATCGTAACGATAAAGACAACGATTTGGCCACGAGGATTGCTAGCTTTTTTAGGTTAGCGAAAAGCTATTGATATTTGTAAAGATAAAGACAGACATTCGGTTAAAAGGACAGCCAGCTTAATAAGCTAAAGACCCACTAGCCATTGTAGCTAGCATCATATTGTAATAAAGTCTTTGTCTGAAAAAATTGGATATAAAGCTATCAACTGGCTATAGATTTGTAGATATTTTGTAGCTAGCTACAAAGCTACGATATCTAGCTAACGACACATTGCTACAAAATCGCAATGTTAATAGTTCGAATAACCTCATAATTATAATAGACTCAACACTAAAAATCGAATTTTTAAAGATGTTAAAGACATAAAGAAATAATAAAATAGTAAAAAAAAAATCGCTAGAAAATCGCTATAAAGCTAGCTAGTCGCTAGCTCATTTCCCACCGGGCTATTGAGGTTTGTAGTCAAAAGTAGTTAATCGAATCGTATACATAATTGATTTCTCTTTTTTTCAGAATCTTTGTACCAAGTTTTCAAATTTAAGTTTCAATGAATCAAAAATCAATCAACAATATAAGTCAATTATTTTTTAAATCTAACACTTAAATTCTATTAGTTAATTCACTTGGTTACATACACTTAAGCACAGCTATATACAATTAAAATCGTAATAGAGCTATCTAAATAAAATAATTTATTATAAGTAAATAAGCATTTATACGTGGAAGTTGTTTATCAAAAGGCGTGTTATAAATTAAACTATGTAACTCTATCCAAAAGCATACAACCTTAATATTAAAACTGTGTTTGGCAACAGTACATACTTACACATATGTGTACACATATGTGTAAGTATATACTGTTAAAAAGTACTTATACACATATATATAAGTACCTTTTTATACAGTAAGTAATACATTATATCAATATGTTAAGTATGGACATATCTTATATATATATAATACTTTATCTTTTTATTTATATTCTCTATTTAATATTTAATATTTTCTCTATTTATTATAAATAGAGAAAATATTAAATATTAAATAGAGAATGTAAATAAAAAAATACAGTATTAAATATATAAAATATGTCCATACTTAATATAATGATATAATATTTTAATAAGAGCAGAAATATATTTTTATCAAAAAAATTAAACCAACGACCAAAATTACCATAAATTTTATGGTGATTTTGGTTGTTGCTTCAATTTTTTTTCGATAAAAAATATATTTCTGCTCTTACAACTATGCCCTAAATATTAATTTTAATTTTTCTTTTTAATTATATATTACGATTATAAAAATAAAAATAAAACACACTCTATTATATCAGGGTATTGTGAAATATGACCT